CTTTCTTTCTTTCTTTCTTTCTTTCTTTCTTTCTTTCTTTCTTTCTTTCTTTCTTTCTTTCTTTCTTTCTTTCTTTCTTTCTTTCTTTCTTCAATCAATTTTTTGATTGAGTTTCTCTCCAATTTCGTAGATGGTGACAAAAAACAAGTAACCTGCAATAAACAGATCGACCTTGGAATCACCTTGGATGCCTCTGCCAGTATCGGAGAAGAAAACTTTAAAAAATACAAACGCTTTTCCAAAGAATTGCTAAGTCGCTTTGCCATCTCTCTCTCAAGAACTCACGTTGCTTTGAGCTATTTCTCCATGTATCATCACATTGTAGCAACTTTTAATAAAAGTCATACTTTAGAGGAAGCAAACTCGATCATTGATGACATGGTGTACGAGAACTCGGCATCCAAGTTATCGAACGCTATAGTGGAATTGCATTTTGCAGTGTTTGCTGGAAAATGTTCTGGAGTACGCCCAAAAGGTTCTGGTGAGTATGACATAATTTGCCCTTCTAAACTTCAAAGAAAGACCGGTAATCAGATAGTTGTGTATATATAGTACATCCTCAAGCAAATGGTCTAATAAGTCAAAAAAATGCTACTGAAATCCTGTTTTTTCTCTACTATCTATAGGTTCAAAGATGGTTTCATTATTCGTAACAGATGGATTTTCTACCTCTGGCTACGAACTTACCAACAGCCGAGCGAAAGACTTTCATAACTATGGGATAGAAGCATTTGCAGTCTACCCAAATGGGAAAGTCCATGAAAACATCCTTCGCTCTATTGCTAGTAGACCCATTGCAAAGCATTTGTTTAGACTGGAAGAGAAACAAGAAAAGAGGCGTTCGTTGATTGATAAAATTGTAAGGCAGATTTGTTTTGGATCTTATAGTAAGAGATAAATGATGTGTTAAACTCTTGGCGCTTGCTAGGAAAGAGACGTTTATTTGCACTTTTTGGATTTTACTATTTATTTATTTATTTATTCATTCATTCATTCATTCATTCATTCATTCATTCATTCATTCATTCATTCATTCATTCATTCATTCATTCATTCATTCATTCATTTAAACATATACTTTCTATAAGTTGTCTCCAACAGCTCTCATGCGAGCTCATCTATGGAGATCACTTAATATAAATTTACAAAATCAGATGAAGTACACAAGGTAATTAACAAAATAGTAATAAAGCGTTACAGAGTTTTACAAAAATACAGAAAATGAAGTTATACTTACATTGGTTATAGTAGATGAATGCAATAAAGTAAATACGAGGAAAAAGGTCTGGTAGATGTAGATATTCTTTTGAAATATTATATTTTTGAAACATTTTACGTATGGATAGTGATCATGAATTATTGACAGTGATTTTATATTAGCCATTAAATAGTTAATAGAGGTTAGCATATCTAACAGCGAATTATGCCCAATCAGAGCACGCGATAGAAATCAGTTGATTATTTTATAAATTCAAAGACTTTTATTAGCTGATTGAAACCTAATTGACTAATCTTTTGGATCGTCCTTCACGAATTTGCAAGATGTGATCCTATTGGAGGGCAGACATGTGTAGAACAATAGAAAACAATGACCTTTCCCCAACCCCGCCCCTAAACCTAACCAATCACAGGGGACGTTGCAAATTCGTGCAGCTTAACCCAATCTTTTTACAAAGTCAACTACAAAGAAGTTTCATTTTTAACCCAGCTTGTCAACTGGTACATATTCGAATAGACACCGTATTTATTAGGAAGAGCACAGCCTATCCCGTAAGACACAAGACCATTAAGGTACCAGAGCCCGTTGTCTTCACATGCCAGCGGTCCACCACTATCAAACTGGCAGGGTCCACATCCACCCGACGCAGGTCCCGCGCAGAAAACCCTTTCGTGGATAGTACCGTTGTAACACTCCTCGCGGTTGCATATTTCGATTGGCACCATATCAACTCTGATTTCCTGGAGAACAGGCGATTGGGGACCTCTCCATGTTGTCCGTCCCCAGCCTAGCACGTGACAGTTCGATTTCAGATTAAATGATGCTCCCTCAGGGAGAAGACAGATTGGAAGAATTGAGTTGTCGAGAGTTGTGTTTGAAGCTAGTTTTATTACCGCTGAACGGAACAAAGTGTAAATGTAAGTGACTGTACCCAACAAAGCATCTTAACTTGGAGGACAAAACAATAGAATTATAATCCCCTGAGAATTAGAAACCTTTTGTTATGTCCTCCAGATTGAGCTGCATGCCGACGTGCTGCAAGGGGTCTATAAGCTGACATGCATAAATATAAGCTATTAGCACAAAATATCTAAGATCGAAGTTCTAGATCATTACATGTCAAGTTAAGGAAAGCCTCCCGATGATTTTGAAGGAATACCTGTGAGTTTACCGGGATGGAATCGACATAATTCGTCTTGGTGAAATAAATCTTTGCTTATTTCAGACCACGTGTCATTCCCTAGAGTTATATCACTTATTTGTTAACGGCTGCGCATGAGAAGACATGTACAGATGAATACGGATATAACTGAAACAAAGCATCCTTTTCTCAAGAGAATGACGTGGTCTGAAATGAATAAACATCACGCTAAGTCGAATAAGCCTTTTCATAGTTTAAGAATCGATTCCATTGCGCATGCAATTTTATCCCGAATTTCTCACCTTCTTTTGTCTAAGCCTTCTTTTGTTCTTAATTAAACAAAGAAAGTGAGAAATTCGGGATAAAATCGCATGCGCAATGGAATCGATCCTTAAACTATGAAAAGGCTTATAGGGTCTATTTCGACGCCGAACGCGGAAGCGTGCTCCAAGGAACTGCCACTACGCCACTTCTGCAACCGAAAACGAAGTACTCTAGGGAATAACATTCATGTACATGGTCCGAAATCGAAGATTGATATTTTATTGGGTCAAGCCGCCGGTAATCATCAAAAATTCTTCTTCTCGTTACCTATATCGTAGTCACTCGGCTTTTCAAAGGTAGGAGCGTTGTTCAGAAATAAAGGATGTTTCTTGAGAGATATAATATTCGAGCCAGCATTGGAATGACTCTGCAATGGTCTATTTTGCCCCAGAATAACTTTCCAGTGGTTTATATCAGCATCTGGAAGAAATAGAAAACAGTATAACCATATTGTGAGGTTTGGTGCACATTGCTTAATGCGCATGCGCCAACAGGGGCTCCAGCGAACGCTAATCCTGCAGGCCCAAGTTTTAGTTATGTCATTCAGTGTTATACCTGTACTAAAACAATGTGCCGCTGTAATCACGTAACCAGGAGCAACCAGAGATCCACCACAGACGACTTCGTTGTTTAGCAACAGGGCTGCGATCCAGGGCCACTCTTGGACAGAAGCAGTTTTCCCGCCAACGATTCTTCGTAACGGTAACACTGGTTCCTTGGGACTGCTTCGAACACCACAGTTTTGCAAAGCTTTTCCTAATAAAAAAATTGATATACATCATTAACTTTTCTCATGCTGCAGCCATTTTGACTGGAATTAAAAGCAATAGATTTCCAAGCTTAGCCTCGCATACAAGCGTTTTTGGACGAGTTTACGCGGGTTTAAACAAAGTTTTTTTATTATCCTCATAAAGATAAGCATGGCGTAATGTGATCAAATTTCGTTCGTTCGTTCGCGTTTGTTCTTTCTTTCTTTCTTTCTTTCATTCCTTCTTTTAAATTACACCTTTCAATAGCAAGACTGACTTGTTCACAATCTTACCAAATAAGGAATGCACGGTAGATTTGCATGTCGGCATGACTTCTCACTTTTATCCTTGCAGCCTTTCAACCAATCGAACAAAAATGCTCCACGTGCACAAACGTGTTCCTTACTGAATCCACCTTATGATTGGACGATTAAATGGGGTGATTGTACAACGAAATGTCAGGTGATCAAGAGTTTGATAGCCTTCGCCTGCATTCGATTGATTTACAGAACCAGAACAAGCTCAGTTGTGTGCTCAAGTGGACGAGAATTGGTAAGTTTTCAAGCCAACACTTTTCATTCTAGAAGCTTTATGAACTTTATTGTAATTATCAAAACTTCAAAACTAAAGTTCTATGTATCAAAACTAAAGTTCTGTGTAAATTTAGACTGATTTTACTCTAAATATCTCGAAAATTCAAGCCTTGTTTAATGGAATTGCAAAAACCGTTCGCTGCATTAAGATAAAAAAATCGCATGCGAGTTCGAATTCTTTCATCTTTCTTTCGTAGTTAGTGGTAAGGGAAGCTTTTTTATTGAACGTACGTACGCGCCACGGTTTAAAGAAATAGCTTTAAATGTGTTTTTACAGAGGAAGCACTTCAAATATTAAGCCACGTTTTCGAACCCAATTGTGCTTTGCTCTAGAAGTGTTTATTTACTTGATGGAGAATCTTAAAAAAACCCCAGAAGAAGTGGTTGAAATAGTAAGCCACGTTTTTGAGGGCAACTGTACTTGGCCAGGCGTAATGAATGTTATTTATAAATATTTACTCATTTGATTTAAATTTAGAATTAAAATTAGAGAGAAATTTTCCCAGTTTTATCATCGCGTATTAACGGCAAGCACGTTTTATCTTTCATTCTAGGTATATGGCCTCAAGCAAGATTCATCATATGAAAAGCGTCAGTCCTTGGTCAACTGAAACAAAAAGTAATTCACATATATTGACGAACGATACTTGAGCAAGTTCTAAAAATTGTTCTCAAAATTTCATCGTTCGCACTTTTGAATTTGTTTTGTTTTACTTGCTCGAGTTATCAGTGTCTTGCTTTATCTAGAGAAATTCGTTCCTAAATCGAATGTGGAACAATATAATGCATTTATTTGATCTGCAATATATATTTCTACTACATTTGGTACATAAATTGTTCGGCAAAAAATTTGGTTCTTCTTATATTGCAAGTCAAATTAATTAACACTATAGGACTAGGACTAAGATTAGCAGGGCTTTGAGTATACAAAGCCCTAAAAATATATAGGTGAAGCTACCACTTGTAAATGTAGGTGGGGTTTAGTGTTTTTGACTGGCATTTGCCAGGGTCAATTGGCCAAATATAGGTTAGTTTTTTTTCAATAAGGCAACGCTGGACATCACTGGAGACGACCTGATGGAGACGACGACCTGGATCAACAAATCTATTCAATACGTCTTGTTTGATTTAGAATGGAGGATTTGCTATTTGTCTTTTATGCAGTGCTGGTCGGTTTTTTTCAACACACACACCATCTTTAAACTGCGCCTAGGGTTTAGTTGGGTCTTTTGGTTCTAAGGTTAGCACCGGCCATGTATTATGTAACACGAGTGAACTATCACTTTTTCTCTCCATGATAGCGAGGGGGAAAGTGACTGGTTGCTTGGTTACCTGCAACATCAATAACTTTGGCACAGTCAAGGTTTGACCAAGGTCTTGTCTTTGGGTTCCCTTTTGTCGGCTCTGGAGTCCAAACGGAAAAGGCGCGGCGGAGCAGGCGAGAGGGAGCTGGGAACTGGTCTTTGATTATGGAAAATTAATTTGTACCATTCTCGTGTATCTAAATTTAAGATTGGCGTTTTGTTTAAGTATTGAATGTTAAAATCTAAACGTTTGGCAACGATTCGAGTCATTCTTTTCTTCTTCTTCTTCTTTTTTTTGTTCTCTTCTTTCCCTCTATCTTTTGTTCTCTTCTTTCCCTCTATCTTTTGTTCTATTTCTTTCACTTTTCCTTTATTTTTCCTTTCATTCATTCTTCCATTCTTCATTCTTTCCCTTCCTTTATTCCGTTCTTCCTCGATCTATTCCTGCCTTCTCTCTTTCCTTTTTTGCTTGACTATCCTTTTATCCACCGTTTCTTCTCTTTTCTTCCTTTCTTCAAATTTCACTCGTGATATTTTTTTCCGATTGAACAAACCTTGGCTATACACGTGTCACTGAAATAGCATTCCTCCAGAATCAATATTAATACTAACCACTTTCACCGAATGTCACGGCACTATCTTTATATAATAATTATTATTAATAATGATAAATAATAGTTAATTTTGAAATGTAGATTTTATTTTTGAAATGTCGTGGCATTCACCTTTCCTTTCAGCCTACACAAGAACAGCCAAACTTGGTTGCGAGCCCGCGATAGAATCAGTGGTAGCTTCTTAGCCTAGAATTTTCTATATTTCATTATATTAATATTATTATCATTATTTATGTATGTATTGATTATTGTTGTCTTTCAATGTTTGAATCAATATAAATATTGATACAAATATTGATAATTGTTCACAGTAAATGTGTTCAGCTCTCTCCTGATGATGTTTTGGTTATCAAAACACACAGGCTCAATTGCAGAAAAGCAATCGTAGAATTTATCTTAACATTTTATTATTTTGGCCCGGTTTTCCAAGCATTTCGGTTTTTCCTAGGTCAGTTTTTCCGATTTAGGATAACAGTTTTCCATACATATTGATTACTTTGATACCTTAAAGGATATTTTGGCCCGGTTTTCGAAGGTATTTCGGCCTGGAGTTTTCGGGTTTAGGATAATAATAGTGTTTCATATGTTAATGTTTAAAGCATTTCTTAGGAACGAATAGGTCGTATGTTTAGTAATTGTGTGAGCGAGCAAACGGGTATAATTTGTAGTTTTAACTACCATAATTTAATTCGATGCATAGTTTCATACATTACTATAAAATTAGCTAAGATTTTTCTGCTCCTTTTTATTTTCTAAGAAAAAAATGATTATGAATTACAATTCATTAATTCATTTAATATTGATTTATTATTAAATCATTTTAAGAACTTTTGCTAGAGTAGAATTCAACACTGATTGTATAGGTTAAGGTTTCAGTACTGTATGTAAAAATAATTTCATACCAATAAACTCCGATGGTTTAATGTAACTACAATTGAAAGTATATTAGCAATGAAGTTTGATCCTGTGTTGTATGGTAGTGGGTTTTTGGGATCCAGTTGGATATTCCCGAGCCGGTGGTTGTAAGTACTTTACGGTAGGGTTTGTGATCCTATCTTTAATGAGCTGCTGACACAGCTCGCTTACTTCTGTTGAGATCTCGAGGAATATCCACCCCATTTTCGATTCAATTTCGGCCATTTGTTTGATTACTCACTCGTACTTCAAAGGGTAGTTTTAATTATCTCTATAGTTGTGCATAATTCATACTTTCGTCAACAAAACGTATTTTTTTTCATGACTTTTTAAAAATAGGAGTATATATACTAAAAAAACTTATGTTTTCTCTAATAATTCATTGATTTATAGTTTATCAATAAAGTTGTGAGATTGGAGTGTATGGTTGTGGGTTTCGGTTCTTGGATATTCCAGAGCCGGTGGTTGTAAGTAATTTACGGTAGGGTTTGTGACCCTATCTTTAATGAGCTGCTGACACAGCTCGCTTACTTCTGTTGAGATCTCGAGGAATATCCACCCCATTTTCAATTCAATTTCGGCTATTTTTTTTATCACTCACTCTTACTTTACAGATAATTCCTTTCTAGTTATTATTTTTTTCTCACCTACCGTAATATTTAGGAAGCTCTATTTTTCTATTATATGGTCTTCGTATAAATAATTTTACTAACTTTTTTTTTCCAGGGTTCAAGAAACTAACCTTTTTTTCTCTCTCTTGCAGATGGCGAATTTAGGTTTTACGCATGCGCATAAGTTAAATATTTTGCGAGCGTGGTGTCATTATTTTATCAAACAGATATTAGTCTTTCGATTGTAAAACACCGTAGTCAAAAAAGCTCTAGAATTTTTTGGTTAGTTAGAGGATTACTGTATAGTTTAGTTACTGATTCGTGTTGTAAAATCAATGACTTTAATAAAAAGTCCGGCCATATTTGATTTTGGTTACATCTGGAGTGTCTCGACGTTTCATATCATTTGGTTCGTAATAACAGTAGTTGTCACGAACATACTAACTTTTAACTTAATTCTTTTATCTTTCAGGTTATTAGTACTAAATTTATCTTTTCTCTTTTTAGACCGAGTCAACAATACACCCTTTTAATGTACTGTACAAACCTTTTTTTCGTTACCGTTATGAAATTAGAGTTCAGTCAGTTTGGAGATGTCAGCTAAACAGGATGTGTAACTGTACAACTCGACTGGAAATCGATTTATTTTTCTCTCAATAAATTGAACTCCATTTTAGGGCCGGATTAAACTTGCACCAATATAATTTTAATAACTATATTTTATTATTATTTAATTTAATTTAGAAAAGACAAGCTGAAAACAGAGAAACCGTCCTTCCTGGAATCCCATACTGGCCGATACATGACGTAATAATGAACTGTTCTCGTAACCATAACAACGATTAAGTAAAAACGATTCTAAACTGAATTCATTTTGAATTCCAAATATCGCAATAAATTTTCTCTTCTCCTTCAGGATTTTTTGGCCCATTATGCGAACCGAGATACCATATGACGACATATGTGACCATAGCAACGTTCCAGCTTAAATTTCTCTTCAATTTCAAAAAAAAAAAATTTTTTAAATCATATATTTTCAGGATTTTCTGGCCCTTTACAAACCAATAGCAAGCGCTACTGAGATGCCATAAGACGTGATAAGCCGATTTATCAGTTGCTGCCTTCAAGATAGGATACCGTGTTGTATGATTTGTGCCTCCATGTTTGACAGTAATGTTTTCTAGTTTTATTTTTTCGTTGAATTTGCGTTTTTATTTATCAGTAATCCACTAATCTCTTACTTCTCTTTCTCTTTTATTTTATTTTTCTATTATTTTTAACAGCGGACGATCG